ATCCTCTGACTAACAACAGTCCTCCTGGATTTGACTGAGAATCACTTCACTTAGACTTTGAGATATGATCATTTGGTTGCTATGTAGGTCTGCACTAAAAGGCAAGATTGGACTACTGTGAACATTTAAGTTCTATATGAGGTGGTTAAAAAAAACACAAAAGGCAAGGCAGGGCAATATTACTGTGCACATTCAAGTAGGGTGCAACATGAAAGATGGTAAGAAAGCAAGCTAACAGCCCTGAGATACACCTTGCTCCAATGCATGAGATGGTCGTCTGTTGCATCCTTGCCTGCGAAGGAGCCTTGCAACAGCATGACAATGAAAGGTGACAGTGAGCTCCAAGGTGTGATATTAAATTGGTGAACTGTATTAGAAGTGATTCAGAGATGTGCCACAATGATATGGTGAGGTTGTGCATGCCCTATACCAAACCCCATGGACATTGGGTGCAGACAGTCATTGCCCACAGAATATGTGCTAAGACATTAGTGCTGGATGTTGAAGATAGAAATGGTGAGCTGAAATCACCAGGTACCCACTCTGACTTTCATCTGAGGAATTGTTGTTTCTTTCTGCCATGTGGCAGAATAGGAAGGTGCAGATGTATGACGTGAGATTAGGCAGGAATGGTATGTAGATGCATAAGAACATGCTTCTTGCCATTCTCTAGCGAGATTTTTGTTTCACTGTTAAACCTCGGATGGGAAATTTGGCATTTAATTTTCTTGGCATCAAGAGTGTCGTTTTTTTATCTTTTCATATGTTCCCAACTGACTGGCCATTGCCTATATTGTTCAGGGGCTGGCATGATTACACCAATGATCAAACTGAATGCTCAAGCAGGCTCATAGGTCTGTATGATCTATCCTTGTTTCTATGCCCTTTTTTCAGTATACCTAATGTGGAACATATGTGTGCAAACCACCAGGTATATTGAAGCTTCTGCAATCATTTTGCATATGTATAATTATCTGACATCAATTAATTTTAAGATTATCACCGTTTCCATGTGGACTGATTATGTTCTCAGTGTGCCTATAGGAATTAACTGGGATTACCATTAAAAATACAAGTCCAATTTGAACCTGTTGCCTAAATACAATCATGCACCTATTAAAACATTCAAATCTAGTAACCATCACAAATATCAAAAGAATGGCCTTTGTCATTTAGAAGAAACCAACTCTGCTTTTGGAGCAAAGCCTTGACCATGTCTTGTGTGAGCCAAATCAAACCCCTGGAATTTGGTTTTGTGAGTTTACAGAAAAGGTGGGGGGTAGAATGTTAGTCTAAAGTTAAATCAGAGGAGAATTTAAAAGCTAATTGCCAGAAATAAATATTCTGAAGAACATTGCATTAAAAATGTGAATGACACAAAAAAGTAGAACTGTATTAAACATGTAGTGTGGATTTCAGTACAGATAAATAGATTTTTTTGAATTGGCAAGAATCCATATTGAGCCTCTTTTGTTTTCCAGTTATATCAATCATTTACACATTGGTGTGAGAGTCGTGAGATTGATAATAATGGTGATTTTCTCATTTGAACAAATAAATGTAGGAGGATCTTCAAATGTTCATTCGTGGAAAGTGGGCATCACAGTCTGGGTCAACATTTATAAGCCATTACTAATTGCTAATTGCCCTTGAGAAAGTGGTAAGTCCATGTGGTGTCAGTACACCCACTATTGGGAATGGAGTTCCAGAATTTTGACCCAGTGGCAGTGAAAAAAGTGCTAATATAATTTAGAATGAGGAATAATATTAAGGTTAAGATGTGTGTGTGTTTGGTGGGAAAATGCAGGTGGTAGTTCCTCTTTGTCTTTCTGTGCAATAGAAGTCACAAACTTGGAATACGCTGTTGAACGAACCTTGGTGAATTGCTGTGATGCATCTTGTAAATGCTTTATACTGAAGCCACTGTGCATTAGTAATGGAGGAAATGAATATTGAAGGTGATGAATGCAGTGCCAATCAAGTGGACTGCTCTGTACTGAATGGGATTGAACTTTTTTAAATGTTGGAACTTTACTTATCCAGGCAAGTGGAGAGTATCCCATTACACTCTTGATTTGTACTGCATGGATAGAGGATAGGTTTTGGGGAGTTGGGAGGTGAATTACTTGCCTCAGGGATGCTGATGCTGGTGTCTAGGACATTGTTTCGGTGTGTATGCCTTTATCAGGCTGTTGCTTTATTTGTCTTTGGAACAACTCTCCTATTTTTGGTACAGGTCCTCAGGTGTGAGTTAGGAAGACTTTGGAGGATTGGCAAAGCTGAGTCTACCATGGCCATTTTTGACATTATTAATGAGAAAATGGTTTAAGAGCTTAAACTGTGAAACATTCGCCAATTGGTGAACCAGTAGCAAGGGTTAAAAACTTAACCTCATGAAAACAAAAAGGCAGTTTAGAAGAGCTTCTCGTATATCGTTGATCATAAAGGCACATAAATGGAAAATACTGCATTTGACAATTGAGGGAAATGGTCAAATAATTAAGAAAGAATTGAATAGGCATTTTAAAGAAAAGGAAAAGCATAATAGGATACATGGAAATTAAATTACATAATTTAGGTTGAGACTTTACACTAGCAAGCCTTCTTTTTGTATTATAATTTTTATGATTCTAGGAGGTCAAACAAGTAAAAGAAAAGAAGTTTATTCTTTGGCCCTATGTTGATATTCATTCACTGTCGTTGGGTCAAAATCCTGGAACTACCACCCCCGCCTTCCCAACTCTTTGAATGATAGTTTTGCAGTGAATGCATTTAAATTTAAACCATGAAACTGAAGGTTGAATGCAAAACCCAATATTATACAAATTAATTAAAAACTGATTATAAAAATAAGTTATTAAATAAGCTAGCACAAGATCAAAATACTCTGGAAGTTGAAAATCTGAAACAGAATCATAAAATCAGCAGATGCTTCCAGATTTACTGAGTATGTCCTCCATTTTCCATTTTTGTAATGTTTCATCGTGGTCTCATGTGGGATCTTTGAGTATTGATGTAACATAAGGTCAATCTTCTTCATAAGTATTAATCTATGTTTATTGACATACTCAGTGTAATGGTAAGGCTATGAAATAGGGACTTCAACCTGAAGAGGATCAAACATCTTAATGAAACACTAACACATGAGTACTGAGGTCACAATAATATCACAGCTTACCTTAGAGGCCCATCTACATAATCATCGAAGCTGATCACTACATAACTTCAAGTAGCCTACAGCTCAATAGTAAACACAAAAGGCTATTAGTGTGAAAATCAGTGATCCTAAAACTAATGAGTTGTGTTTGAGCATGAACCCAACCATATCATAAACATAAGCCTGACTGTTAAGTTTTAAGAAGAGTACATGAATGAATTAAATCAGCTAAATCTATAATTATTTGACATAGCCCAGAAAGAAAAGTTTGAATCGAGCATTCTCTCAATTTTATATTTCATTCAGCCAATGTTCTATTGATACAAATTTGTTACAGTCTCATCAATTAATTGAAATTAAAAGCTTAAAATCAATGCTTCTAAATGAATTTGAAATTAATCAATAGTCAAAATAACAATCAGAGAATATTTCTTTTCTCAATTTATAGCTGTTTAAGCCATATATTCAACTTGCCATGAAATTTACTTCTTAAACACCTAAACAATGTTATTGATTCAATAGCTATTAGTGTATAAATTTGTGTATAAATACAAGTTTGTATACACAGAAAAATCTGGTGCAGTAACCTCTATGTTTCCATTATGCGCATAGAATTTAAAAAAAGTACGTAATTAATGGATAAATTGCATTTTCACATCTAGGTCTCCTTATTCCTATATTGAAGAAGAATGGGGAGGGACATAACCATGGGTGTACATAGCTCTTAGGAATGTGGTGGCACTGGGAGGAATGCTCCTATTTTTCTCAGTTCTGTAGGAAGGCAAACATTTTCTTTAAATGTCCTAAATGGTAGCAGGTGTAGTTGGGCTATGGGATATAGCTTTGAAAATAGATCTGTTTTGATCTGGTATTCTGCCTCAAAACTAATACAAGGCGGACCAACTTCTAAACTGGCATTTATAAGTTCATTATAACTTCTGAAACCATTGTTAAGTTTAAAACTACACAGCTACATAAACATTTTCTTTCAATATCTCACCATCAATCTGCAAAAATCTCTGTGGAATTTCCCAATGTTAATTTGAATTTGGTGCCAAGTCAAGGAAATCTCTAGACATCCAGCAACAGTGATATCACTAAGCAAGGCAAACAGCTGGATACTTTGGAATATTCTCACGGCACCAAACCAGCAAGTAAAACGCTTTGGTTATTATTCAATTTTTAGAATTTTTCATAGACAGTGATATAAATAATTGGAACATATATATTAGAAACTGAAATATCACAATAAACTTTTGAAATTATTGGAAATTTTGGAATTGTTAACAGAAATTTTAAAAAAACGCTTTGCACAAATACAGCATTTATGTTACAAGGCCAGAGAGTATGCTTTGTGATAGTTATGAGTTAGTACATTAATAAATATTCAGTTGCAACTCATTGTCAGGTATAAACCTTTTCTGGGGAGGAGAATTTAACAGCTTAAAGCTCAACAGTTCAGCAACTTTTAACTGATTGTAGTATGATGGGATTTCAACAGTGCACCTTTTGAAGAAGCAAAGAATCATTTGCAATAACTTTTGTAATTATATGCTTAACTGCGCATGTGCCATCTCCACAAATAGTTATCAATTTCAAAGGAATAATGATGGTGAACATTGACAGTGTCATTGCTATTATTATTTGAACAGGTAGGCCAAGATAGTTTTCATAATTGGCAGTTAGAAACAATCTTTCACAGCTAAAGTAAAATTAGTGGCAACCTTCTTCAACTTGAACCGTTGATGTATTTATAAGGAACAATTAATGGATTTAATCTCTTAATCCAAATGCTGCAATTTGTACTGTTACATTTCTTTTTGTTTTATTTTACATGTGGAAGGTTGCATGTGTGGTACATAACTTTAAGGGAAGAAATACAGTAAATGAAAAACTACAGCCTGACAACGTGATCGAGATCCCTTTGATCACTCTACCACATGTGGAAAGTCCATTAGGAAAATTAAGTGCTGTACAGGTATGTTATTAGAATATTCTTTTTCCAAATAAATTAAAATGTACATTTAAAAGATAACAATTTTTCTTTAAATGGTCTTTTTGTAAATAAGCTTTCTAATTTTCCCAAGTACAGGTAGGTCTTTACCATTTCAGGATCAGATTGATACTTTAGTCTTGGGGGTCAGCAGTCTTATTATTGAAAAATTTGGATGTGCTCTCCACCTCAATTCCCTCAGTAATACTCAGCAATAGCTCCTGAATCCATTTTCCTCAGATGGAATGACATCTCCACTTTCAGTAGCCATTCTAGCAAAAGGTAACATTCTACTATATTCAGAAAGAACTGTGGGCGTACCAGATCCAGGCTCTGGGACCGACTTTCCATTAACACAGTACTAACAGAAACCAAAATTAGTATTAAGCGCAATGGAACTTCATAAATACTTGAATATGCAGGGTTTGGAGTCACACATAGGCCAGACCAGGTAAGGATGGCAGTTTCCTTTCCTGAAGGGCATTAGTGAACTAGACGGGTTTTCTTAAACTGTCATCTGGGCAATTAGGGATGGGCAATAAATGCTGGCCTAGCCAGCGTCACCCTCATCCTGTGAATAGCTAAAATAAAGGAACAGCCTTTCAGATAGAGATTAGCTTTCCAACAGGGTTTGAAAAGCTTCCACTAAAATATATTTCTCTGCAGTCCATGTTTGCTATTCTAAAATACTGTTGTAATCTGCTAACACAAAAACAGAAATTTCTGGAGAAACTCAGTAGGTCTGGTAGCATCTGTGGAGAGAAAGCAGAGTTAACATTTCAAGAACTTTGTTGGAATTGCTCTCGAATCAAATCCTAGGTTTGTCATCAAGCCTGTCGACTTGTGATTCTGTTGTTGTCAGATGTACTAACGTCTACATTGTGAGCCTGAGTGCCAGCTCTCAATATAATACATACAACACAGGAACGGGCCCTTCGGCACACTGAGCCTACACTGACTCCTAATCTTTATTTAGACCTGCTACTTACTGCCCATACACAGTTTCTAACCCTCTGTTAATCTCCCATTCATGCGTCTATCAAGGTATGCCTTAAACATTGCTAACATGCCTGCTTCCACCACTGGCAGTGCATTCCAGGCACCCACTACCCTATGTGTGAAACATTTTGCCCGCACTTCTCCCCTAAACTTTCTCACTCTCACTTTGAACCTGCCCCCTCTTGTAGTTGACCTTTCTACCCTGGGAAAAAGCATCTGACTATCCACCCTATCTATTCCTCACATAATTTTGTAGACCTCTATAAGGTTGCCCCTCAGCCTCCATCTTTCCAGTGAAAACAATCCAAGTTTATCCAACCTCTCCTCATAACTAAAACCCTCCAGACCAGGCAACGTCCTGGTAAATCTTTTCTGCACTGTCTCCAAAATATCCACGTCCTTCTGGTAGTGTGGCAACCAGAACTGCACGCAATATTCCAAATGTGGCCAAAGTAAAGTTTCATACAGCTTGTCAACTTTTATTTTTGATACCCCGAGGGCAAGCATGCTGTATGCCTTCTTGACCACATTGTCCATCTGTGTTGCCTGTCCAATTGTCTGTCCAATAAAAGACAGGGGTTGGTAGTAGATGGAAAGTATTCAGCCTGGAGCTCGGTGACCAGTGGTGTTCCACAGGGATCTGTTCTGGGATCTCTGCTCTTTGTGATCTGTATAAATGACTTGGATGAGGAAGTGGAAGGGTGGGTTAGTAAGTTTGCCAATGACACAAAGGTTGGTGGAGTTGTGGATAATGTGGAGGGCTGTTGGAGGTTGCAGCGGTACATTGGCAGGATGCAGAGCTGGGCAAAGAAGTGGCAGAAGGAATTCAACCTGGAAAAGTGTGCAGTGATTCATTTAGAAAGGTCAAATTTGAATGCAGAATACAGGGTTAATGGCAAGATTCTTGGTAGTGTGGAGGAACAGAGGGATCTTGGGGTCCATGTCCATAGATCCCTCATAATTGCCATCCAAGTTTATAGGATTATAAAGAAGGTGTATAGTGTTTTGGCTTTCATTGGCAGGGAAATTGAGTTTAAGAGCCACGAGGTTATGCTTCAGCTCTATAAAACCCTGGTTAGACCACACTTGGAATATTGTGTTCGGTTCTGGTCACCTCATTATAGGAAGGATGTGGAAGCTTTAGAGAGGGTGCAGAGGAGATTTACCAGGATGCTGCTTGGACTGGAGGGTCTTATGAGGAAAGGTTGAGGGAGCTAGGGCTTTTCTCATTGGAGTGAAGAAAGATGAGAGGTGACTTGATAGAGGTGTACAAGATGATGAGAGGCATAGAGTGGATAGCCAGAGACTTTTTTCCCAGGGCAGAAATGACTATTACGAGGGGCCATAATTTAAGCTTACTGGAGGAAGGTATAGGGAAGATGTCAGAGGTAGGTTCTTTGCACAGAGAGTGGTAGGCGTTTTGAATGCGCTGCCAGCAGTGGTAGTGGAGTCAGATACATTCGGGACATTTAAGCGACTCTTGAATGGGCACATGGATGATAGTAAAATGTAAGGTATGCAGGGTAGTTTAATCTTAGAGTAGGATAATAGGTCGGCACAACATCGTGGGCTGAAGGGCCTGTACTGTGCTATACATTTCCATTTGTCTATGTTTCTATGTTGCCATGTTCAAGGATCTGTGGACCTGTACGCCCAGATCCCTCAGTATGTCAATGATCTTAAGGGTTCTGCCATTTATTGTATAATTCTCACCTGAATTTGATCTTCCAAAATGCATCACCTCACATTTGTCCGTATTAAACCTGGATACCTTCTATTTACTTTTGGATCATTACCCCACCGTCAAACACTGGGCTATTGAGTCCACAAAGGTCACTAATCTCATTTCATCTGGTGATCTATCCTGCCCTACATCTGAGCTCAGAGTCCCACAGCCCAGTCTACTTTCCCAAAATGCACAAAAAATACTGCCCAGGCAAATTCATTGTTTCTGCCTGCTCCTACATCCCAGAATTCATCTCTTCCTACTTCGACCTCATTCTTTCTCCACATTTCCGGTACCTTCTCACTTACATTTGCAATTTGTCTGACGCTTTATGTCAGTTTCAGAATTTTCAGTTTGCGGCTCCAGCCACCTTCTCTTTACCACGGATGTGCAATCCCTTTACACATCCATCCCCCATCAGGATAGCTTCACGGCTCTTTGCTTTTTCTTGGGAAAAAAAAGCCTGACCATCCCCATCCACCACCACTCTCCTCTGCCTGGCTGAGCTCATCCTCACTTTGAACAACTTCTCCTTGAACTCTTCTTACTTACTTCAGATTAAAAGGTGTGGCCATGGTTACCCTTATGGACCCCAGTTACAGTTGTATCTTTATGTGGTATGTGGAACATTCCTTGTTCCAGTCCAACTCGTGTACCTCCCTACAACACTTCCATTTTCAGTACTGCTTCCCTCTCTCAGCTGAAATTTTTGCTTTCAATTTCCATCCTGCCTTCACCTTCATCTGGTCCATCTCCGACTCCTCCTTTCCCTTCCTCGATATCTCCGTTTCCATTTCTGGGGATAAGCTGGCCACCAATACTCACTACAAACCAACCGACTTCCACAGTTTCCTTTACTACATGTCCTCACACCCTGCTTCCTGTAAAGACTCTATGCCATTCTCCCAGTTCCACCGTCTCTGTCACATCTGTACTGACAATGCCAACTTCTACAAGAGGGCCTCTGAAATTTCCACCTTCTTCCTCAACTAAGGATTCTACACCACTGTGGGTGACAGGAATCTCAGCTGGGTCTGACCCGTCTCCCGCATTTCAGCTCTCACACCTTCTCTTCCCTCCCACAACCCGTCCTCCTTTCTTAGCACCCCGTCCCCCAAAATCTACATCCAGAGGATCATTTGCCACTTCCAGTGGGTTGCCACCATCAAACACAAAATACCCTTCTTCCTTGTCAGCGTTCGTCAGGAACTGTTTCCTCTGGAACACCCTGGTCCACTCCTCCATTCCCAACAGCCTCCCACAGCCCCATGGCACCTTCCCCTACAATCGCAGAAGGTGTAAGACCTGCCTGTTTACTTCTTCCATCCTCAGTGTTCAAGGTCCCACACCCACCTTCCAGTGAAGCAGCAACTTCTCTGCACTTCACTCAATCTAGTCTACAACATTCGCTGCTGTCAATGTGGTCTCCTTTACATGGACGAGATGAAACACAGACTGGGTGGCCACTTTACAGAATGCCAATGTTCATCCATAAAAATGACCATGAGTTTCCTGTTGCCTGTCACTTCAACACAGCACCATGTAGCCTGGCCAACACCTCTGTCTCCAGCTTGCTACAATGCCCCAGCAAAGCTCTGTGTGAGTTGGAAGAATATCATCTCATTTTCTGCTTGGGGACTCAGCAACCTTCAGGACTCAATATCGAGTTTAACAATTTTAGAGCTTGAACACCTTATTCCGTGTCCTTCTCCGAACCCCCACACATCAGACCTGGTTATCTAATGGTCTGCTACCACAACCAATCCATTGTCAGCGAATAATGGTCCCTAATAGCAGCAATTTACTTTTCCATGCTGACCTTTACCTATTACTTTGCCCAAATGCTTTGCTCGCGGTCTCTCTCTGGGCTCCATCTCCACCTATTGTTTACTCCTCCATTTTAAAAAAACAATTCTGAAGAACAGTCACTGGACCCGAAATGTTAACTCTGCTTTCTTTCCACAGATGCTGCCAGATCTGCTGTGTTTCTCCAGCAACTTCTGTTTTTGTTTCAGATTTCCAACATTTGCAGTTCTTTGACTTTTTTGAAATGTTATCTTCTATATAATTGGGTGGCATTAGCCAGTCCTAAGTAAACATTGAGAGTACTGTTATGGAGGTCTACGAAAATAAAGACAAAGGAAAAGTTGATTTCAGTTGGAAATTATGACTGGGATTGCATTGTGATGTCTGAATAGCCTAAAATCATGTTTACATAATAAATTAATTTAAGAGAATACTATTGTCAGCTTTCCAAAACAAATATATCATGTCACGTTTCTTATCTGACTTGGGTTCTAAGCCGCACTGACAAAATCCCATTCATTATTGACCCTAGTTGCCTTTTCTTTCCCTTTAATCTTTTATGGGATGTGGGTAAGCATCCTTGTACTTAGCTGGGGTGAGCAACATTCCCTCTAAGCTTTGCGCACATGCAGCTGCTCTGAAGGTCTGTGCACAGTAGTCAACATGTTAACAACGTGCACAACATTAACTTTTGGTTCTGGAAGTCACTGCTATGCACAGACTTTGGAGGTCACTACAGAGGAAACAAAAGCGAAGCGCTGCTGTTAAGGCCAACATTCGTTGTCCATCCCTAATTGCCTTGAACTGAATGGGTTTTGCTTGTCCATTGTAGACGAAGAATCCCAGAACCATAGAATACAGTGTGGAAGCACGTCATTCTGACTATCGAGTTAACATCTACCCAAACGTAGTTAAGAGTTAACCAAATCAATGTGGACCTGAAACTACATGTAGACCAGACTAGGTAAGGATAGCAGATTTCATTTGCTAACAATCATTAGTGAACCAAATAGGTTTGACAACAATTGATGATAGTGGTCATCATTACTGAGATATTACTGTTAATATCAGATATATTCACAATTTAAATTCTGCCAACTACTATGATGGAATTTGAATCTGCCTTGATCTGTTGTAATGTTTCTAGCTGTGGTCATCCCACAACGGGTAGGCAATTCCAGGACAAAGGAAAGAAAGCAACTTGGGAGTCACTTAATACTTTTGAAACTAACTTCTGTTAATCATCATTTTAGTTTCTCTACTAAGATTGAATTGCTATTTGAAATAAGGTTTTTGGCATATTAGAGAGAATATTAAAATAAGGACAGGATAAATACAAAAGGTGCAAGTGAACATAATAATTCAGCACATTTTGTAGAAATGCTTTATAATAGTTTTTGTTGAAGACTTCCATGAAGGGTTTCAATTTAAATTCTCCATTCTCACTACCCCTCCACTGAAGAAGACTAGCTTGTAGACTACAGCATATGTTACACTTGCTCAAATTTCAACTATGCCTGACAGTAAGAACACAGCAAGCAAGGTCTCATTATTTACAATATAAATAACTTTCAGAGATGAGGTTCTGGTCTTATGATGTTCATGTGTGTCGTAGTTAATTCACTAAGTATATAAATGGCAAGTACAGTAAGGGTGACACAGCTATGAAATAGATGTCAGGATTCAGGTAGGAATTATTTCGAACAGATCTTTCTTTTTATAGTCATATAAGATATTGACATCGCAAGACCAGCATTTATTACCCATCCCTAGTTGATACTGAGGAGGTGATGGTGGATCTTCTTGAATTGCTCCAGTCCATATGATGATGGTGTTCCAGCAGTGCTGTTAGGTATCAAGTTCCAGGACTGTGACCCAACAACAATGAAGGAATGATGATAAATTCTGATGTCGGGATGGTGTGTAACTTGAAGATGATCGTGTTACCATGCATTGACTGCCATTGTCCTTCGAAGTCATGGAGGTCACAGTTCAGGAAGCACTGTTAAAGAAACCTTTGTGAGTTGTGTTGCAAGTACATCCTGTAGATAGCACCTATGGTATGCCAGTGGTGGACTGGTGGACAAAGTGCCAATCAAGTGGACTTTTCTGTCTATTTTCTGGTCAATCAATTTTCAGTGCTGCCATCAAGCTCAAAACTATGAACTATGTGACACATTTACAAAATCAATGTACCTTAATAGCTTTTGGACTAATGTAGTTGTGTGAGCAGAATATACACAAAGCAACAAAATAAAAACTCCATCAGAGATTTTTCACATTCTTGTCAATGTAATCAACTGTGTCACTGAAACATAAAAGAATTTTACCTAATGAAAGGGAAGCAATTTAACATACTTCTCTATCATGGCCATATATCTTCCTCAGAAACTCTATTTCCTGTTTTATAAAGAGTACCATCCAGCTGTTTCTGCTTATCTACAAGCATGGAGTCAAATAAAGGGAAACAGTGCTCTGGCTTTCCGGCTTAGCAACTGGAAAAGTGCTAAAATTCTTATGCCATCCTCAGGACAAGCAACATTAAGTTCAAAGTGACTCCTGCTTATTCAGTAAAAGTTTCCAATTGCTCCTATCAGGAAACACATTACCTCTCCATTATTCAGCAATGTTGAACTTGCCTGAGGTGCTTGGTTGAGATTCAGGGCTGATAATATGACAAGAAAAAGAGTTGGTATGGAAGCTCAGATCACAACAATATGTTCAGCAAGCTACAGTGAGGGCAGGAAAACCCTAAAGCTCTAGAAAGTTTCAACAAATTATGATTAATGGCACTACTTTTCTTTTCAATTAGAGGACTTTCTCTAGAATGTGACTATAGCTCCTGAACTGTGCTTGAGCCCTTAATTTTGCTATAAGAATAATATTATTGCAATGAAACAACTTTTCCTTGTTTTCCCCAGCTTTCTTTAATCTCCTTCTTTAAAGGCACTAAAGGTTTCTTCCTGTTAGTGGGGTCGGATGTCAGTGGTAGGGAAAGAGGGTGGTAGTTGAGTGAATCACAGCATTGTTTAAAGCAGGATCTCATTTGCTGAATACTGATGGAGAAATGGAAAAGGGTTGAGATTGGGTATTAAATACTTTTCTATTATGTGGCAACAAAGGTGAAAGGCATATAATCTCCACTGAAGACACATAAGCCGTGATTTTTTAAAAAATGGGAATTCACAGAAACTATGAATAAACTGGAGTCAAATTGAAAATGATAACAGCTGAAGGGTGGATTAACACATTGCACTGTAAGAATCAATTCATGCAGTAACTAACGACACACAGTGGCCTCTCTCACTATCTCCGAAATCTTGACAGATTGAAGTAGCTACACCCTCTTTTGAGGGGTCAGCTGATGCCTGAACTGCAAATGTATTCCTGAGTTTACACTGCATATTGCTTCACAGGGGCTGGTGATAGCAATTGACACTTACATTTGGAAAGCTGGGCTTCCCTTTTAATAAAATGGTTGTGTTAACTGCCTCTGGTGCAGATAGTGAGGAAGAGAAAATGTCACTTCTCATCTAGCACTCATGCAGAAAGATCCAACTGCTATACCACAGAGAGATGGACTCAGGAGAAAGAGAGCAGACCTTTGACTGTGAATGCATTAGAAACACAAAACAGAATACACTTCTGAGGATTATTGGATTTTGTGATCATTTATTTTTATAACTGTAAAAATATCAATATCAAGCAGGCATAAGATGCTGAGGAAGGTAGACACAAGAGCTAACAGAGTTAAAGTGATAAACAGCCAGACAAAAAATATTGAAAGACATAAAAATGTAATAAGTGCATGTGGAAGACTATATCCACATCACTTGCATTTTCTCATGAATAGGCTGCAGGGCATTAGTGTTATGAATGCTTCAGTGCTATGTTAGCACAAGCTCCAGTATGGGTTCTTGATGACTTTTCATTTTAGATGAGTTACTGCCTCCATTAAAACAGCACAAAGAGAGAGGCCACACAAACACATTAAGTGGACACTTTCCACTATTTCCCAGCAGCAATAAGTACTCTCTAAAGATGTCAATTTTTAAAATTTTTGACTAATGATGGATTCTTCTTTATAGTGTTCAATAGTCCTAACTTTTGTAGGTACAAGATTCAAAGATCGTGACTGTTTTACAGAATAATTTAAGTTCTTGAAATTATGACAACTCATTTTGTCCAAAATTTTTATCTGCACTATTTAATTGAGAAGTTAACTTGTTTAAATTAAATGAATTACATTTCCTACATTAGGTAATGGATGAGTTCCAGATGATTGTGTTAAATATGCATTTGTAAATTATTATTCTGTGGCTTAATTTCAGGGCATAGGTGGCTATGTCACCAGCCCCTTTATATATCTATAACAACAACATATCTATAACAAACATAAAGTGTATATTATTAAGTTGTAACTTATCATTGTAAATTAGCATTCAGGCCGTATTACAAATGGCTATCTTCTGTGTTGTAAAATTCTACAATTTCTATTCAATGAATTCATTAATTTACACGCAGCATTCTATTTCTTGAAAATGTGACGGCCCAGAACCTGGAATCTGCACCATGAGAAAAGAAATTGTAATTTAAAAAACGCCTGTGGGATCTCTAATTATTCTCAAAAATGTTTGAAAATATTTTTTATGTGTTTACATCAAATGCAATTAATTGTATCTTTCTTGGATAATAAGAAATACTGGTCCATGTCACTTGGTGACCCTTGACCTGGAAGTACCAACTGTTATGATATGGATGCTGTGTGGCCAGACACAAAAGAAAGTTCAAAGGAGGTACAGGATGAAAGCTCAGATGCAGACACAAACAGAAAGACAGAAGTATGAGCTCTTGTGAGAAGCAAATCACTCTCAGGAAGAGGCCAGTTTTTCTCTTTAATTGTCAGAAAGTAGAAAGAAGCAAGAGCCCTTGGAGTTACTGTATAAGGTAACTTAAAAAAAAAACCTGGAAAGCTATGTGAATAGGTTACAAATGCTGAAGAGGATGGTGTTATCCCAGAGGAGACAAAACCATGAACCAGGGTGTTATTCATTGGTCAACTGAAAATAAACTTTGGAAACCTACAATGGCAGCACTATTCTTACTTGAGAGAGAGAGAGTAATGTGCCTTGAAAATGACAATCACCTCTGTGAAATTCAAAGTGGAAGGATGATATTGGAAAACACTACTTTCGAACCCTGACAAATAAAGAATGTCATTGGAACTGGGGAGCTATGAAGTGCTGCATTTGTGTGGGGAGTGATGCAAGTGCCTGTGGTTGTATAAGAGATATCTTTGTTGTATTAAATATTTAAAGTGAAATTGATCTTTTTTGTTTGAAGTTTTATTTGCCTGTCAATCCATGTTTAACTTGCATGGATTCTAATTTGAACTAAAGTAAAAGTTGCAATATGTGAAACTTTTTGGTAATTTCTTTCTTGGGGGCAATTTGGTAAATTTAGTTATTTTGGTCTATGGTTCCCTCATGAGGGTCACACGCATAATACTGACTATATTCCTAGTCTTAGTGACTCTATATGTGATGTATTTACCTGCACAGCTAGGTAGTAAATTGCTGGACTGGATTCTCTATCCATTGAATTCAATTAAGTAAAGGTGATATGGTAGTATAATTTACAACTGCACCACAAGCAGGTCTAGTTGTGTCACTACCCCTGGACCGGGAGCCTTGGGTTAAATCTCACCTGCTCCAGAGGTGTGTATTAATATGTCTGAACATTTTGATTAGAAAAAAAAATAAGTGTAGCTCTATAATTAGGGGCTACTTTGTAGTGCAGTGGTAATGCCCCTACCCATGGACAAGGAGACCCAGGTTCAAGTTCCACCTGCTCTAGAGATACGTAACAACATCTCTGAACAGGATGATTAGAAAAATGTGTTAATAAAAAACAACTCTATAATTAAGGGCCCACTTGTGATGCAGTGGTAGTGTCCCTATCTCTGATCCAAGAGGCCTTGGTTCAAGTCCCACTTGCTTTAGAGGTGTGTGGGAAAATATGTAGCTGTATGAGTAAGACACATGACTGGCCAAAGATTTAAGATGAACATCTGCACTCAAGATTTTTAACAGTAGCAAAAGACAGGTGAACAAATCCGAGCATAGAAGCAATTTCCCATGACAAATATTGGTCCAAAATTTCCTATCAAAATAACATAATGGCAGCGAATTATTGATATACAAATTGCACAAGCGCTTCAAGTGAAGACAGGTGTGCAGTTTAGTACATAAATCTGCTAGTAACTCTGCAGGATGCACCACACTATTGGCATAGTGAAAACACCGTCTCACTATTTAACTTGCTACTTAATTGTATTGAATGGTGTGGTCTCAATGAACTAATGAAGCTCGCCACATAAAAAAAAAATTTGGGGCATGATCATTTCAGTCTAAACACCCTTTTAAATGGTGTCAAAGTGTTTATTTCAACCATTCTAACACTGAAAGTTAATTATTACAAATTCCTCAGATTGGAATTGTGAGAGATTGGATAGGGTTTGGTGCTGAGATGACAGTAAGATGCAAGGGGCTTGGAGGTTGGGCTGCCCCTGCAGGCTGTGGAGGCTTAACTGCAATTTCACGGACTGGATCCACACCAGGAAGCCAGCTCAATTGCCAGGCTTCGCTGGCATTCAGGTGGGAAGCAGCTCGTTGGGTGCTCAAGACTACGTAGGTCTATGCCACAAGGCCACCTATCCCCTCCTCCCACCTCAAGCCCCACCCCCATCTCCTACCTACTAACCTCATCCCACCCCCT